ATCCTGTTGTCTTGCCATATTTTTCTTAAATTTTTGTATTTCTGCTTTGTGATATTCCTTCAGAGAGGCTACTATTCATTAATAGATTTTAAATTTATGGAAAATCTTTGGCTACAATATTTATCCATTCTATGGCTGAATTTTTCTAGTAAATCATGATTATCTTTTTCCATATGTAATCTTTCCACTGTTGCTATGCCAGTCTTATCATTTTATTCACTATAGCATGCATTGTATTTTCCTGGTCCACTTATTTCCACAAGTTTCTTAAGTCAGGGAGGCTAGTATAGTCTTCCAGAATAGCTTTGATAACTTTACTAGGTAATGTTTTTGCGTGATATTAAAGAGACATGAATTTGTTTCTGCCTTAATTCTGTGTTTTAGGCACTTTTTCTCAACATCTGCTTCTCTGAGTTAATATTGCACCTGCTGACTGAAGAGTAAGTAGAAGTTGTCCAGTAAGGCCCAGCCGGTGTGCCTCAGTATTTGAGCATGAACCTATGAGCCAGGAGGCCATAATTTCACCAGGTTGTAGGCTTCATCTCCAGTGGGGGGGGTGCAGGAAATAGCCAATCAATGACTCTCATCATTGATATTTCTATCTCTCCCTGTCCCTTTCTCTCTGAAATCAATAAAAATATTTTTTAAAGAAATTGTCCAATAAGGATGGTAAAGGGAAAGGCAACAAGTGTTCCGGGAATAGAGACAGTACAGAGAACCCTTCATTTCAATTGCCTATGTCAGACCGTGAACTTGACCCAAAAGTGAACATGTTTCAGTTCTAAAACATTAAACACCAATATCTCACTGTTTTAGCACAACTTCAAATTCTTCCAGCTTATACTTTATCTCTTTTTACACAGGAATGTCAGCCACATAGAGACCTCCAGTCCCTTGATTCCTTCATGCTGTCCCAGGCTTCCAGCTTCAACCTTGAATACACCCCATGGGTTACCTCCCTGACCTACTCTTTGCTCAACACTCTCAATTGTGTTGCATATTATTACATTGATACTCTTCCATGGAAGAAATGAATTTATTTGCTTACTTTTATTTTCTGAACATGTAAGCTGAGTAAGATAATATTTGAATGGAGGCATGAACTTACTAATTAGCCATACTTTGAAAGGAAAATGGAAATAGATGGAGGGTATACAATGTATTCCTCTTAGAGTGAACATGATTGGGGATTCACTGAGCAGGAAGTGAATGTGGGAATAACTATCTTCAGGGAAATTGATAGTGGACTTCTGTATTTCAGCTGCTGAGCCCGACAGTACAACAATCATCATAATGGGTATAGTTCTGGCAGTTCTGGTACTGCTGACTTCCATCATCACTGGGCTTTATTTAAACAACAGTCTCAAAAACCGGCACAAAACCAGGTAAAGAGGTTTTTTTGTTTTTTGTTGTGTGTGTGTTTTTCAGAATACAATCATCCCTTCTCAGAGGTGTCTGTCCTTCGCCTTTCTGCTTAGGAACAAGACCCAAATCAGCAAAGGCTCTACTCAGAGGAAGTCACATCAATGAGACGCTAATACCTCAACCATAAAATATGGAAAATAAACTTCACTTATAGAACTTCTGTGTGGATTAAAAGATATATATTTATATAAAGCATCCTTGCTTTATACCAATACAAAGTCATTAAATGAAAGGCAATTATTATTATTATTATTATCATCTTTATTATTAATGCTGTAGGATAAGGAGGAGGAAGATAGAAAAGAGTAGAAAAGCGATGGGAAGACCAAATATTCATGATATACTAAATATGCATGAGGCACATGAAGAATTCCTTTATGAAGTCTTTAATTGACCACCGATAAGTAATACTCATTTTGGAATCATATGTCTCTTCCCCAGGAAATAAGGTTCCTCTGGCTAGTGTGGCTCAGTTGGTTGAGCATGGTCCCATGCACCGAGATGCATTGGTTCAGTTTCAGGTCTGGGCATATGCCTGAGCTGGAGGCTCAATCCCCAGTAAGAGGCATGTAGGAGGCAGCTGATTCATGGATCTCTCTCATTGATGTCTGTCTCTCTTTCTCCCTCTCCCAGCCCCTCTTTCACTCTAAAATCAATAAAACCATATTTCAAAAAAATAAGTGTGAAATTTATAGCTGTTCCTTAGGCCAACAAAGAGCGACAACTATGCTAGGTATGCTTTCTCCACAAGTATGTGTGTTGGCCCCAGATAACACATTACAGAGCCCCCTTGTTCAAGATCACTTTAGCCTTTAAAACCACACATCAGAAAAAAGGATTGATGGGACAGAGAAAAACAGGACCACTGCTCAATACAGGATTTGCATGGTGTGCTTGCAAACTCTTTTGGTGTGTTAATCTACCTCATCTCTTT